GGGCTCGAGCCTGCGGCTCTGCGGCAGCTTTGCAAGTTTAAGCTTTTAAAACAGACCGGGGTGCCTGGCTTTAAGCACCGAAGCGAGCGCTTCATTAAAGAAGCGTGACGAGGGTTCGGTTTTTATCGCTGCGAAGGACGGCTACGTCAAGACAGCCGCCGCCGCGCTGCTGCCCCCGGGGCGCTGGCGGGAATAACGGGGAACAACGGCGGGAAGCTTGGGAATGGTCCTGGAGCGAAGAGGCGTTTGAAAGGACGAAGGTGAAAGCCTGGTGACGATTTTTTTTTTGGAGTTTCCCTGAGGACTCGAGTCTCTGAGAACTTGAAACGAAGCCGACCAGTTGATTGTTTTATACGGCAGCTGGCTCGGCGGCGAGCTGGGCAAAGGGCCAGCGTTGGCTCCTCAGGTATTAACGTGGCGCTCGTCAGCGTGAAACGCTCCCCTGCTCGAGAGCATCTTCCTTCCCGAGCCGCGTGCCTGGCGCTCCAGGCTGGAGGAACGCTGCCCGCCGGGGACAGAGCCTGCTCTTTGTTCGGTGGCTGTGGTAAAATCGAGAAAATACGTCTTTTTATCTGAGGCCGCGGCATCAGCCGGTGCCTGGGCACCACGGAGGCTGTGCCAGTGCTGCGGTTGGCAGCCGTCGGCGGGGCTGCAGCCGGGGCCGGGGTAGGAGCCCTCCCCAGCGCGCTCCCTCCTCTCTGGCCGAACCCCGGCTAGCCGCAACGCGCGCCGGTCGCCAGTACCGGTGACCTAGAAATGAAAAGCTTTTCATCCCCTTCCCGATCCCCTGCGCCAGGCAGAGCCTTCGGTCTCTCCGGGACGGTAATTCCATGCCTTCTGCGAGCATCCCGGGGTATTTTTTCACCCAAACCATCCTTGCAGTTGATGTTTTCCCTCACGTTGACCCCGAGCCTTCCCCTCTGCTTGCCAGCGAAGGTGAATTAATCCTCCCCATCTGTAACGCGGCCTTCGCCGTGCTCCCTCTCTTCGCGGTTGCCGAGCGTAACCGTCGGTGAAGGCGCGAAGCAGCCTGGCACGGTCGGGTCGTGCTGCGGCTCCGCTGCCCATCCGAACGCTCCTTCGTTTCCTCGGGTGCTGCCCAGTCTGGCTGCTGTCTCTGCTAATTAGCAACGCGGGAAGTCACGCTTTCCAGCCTGTAATTCCCTTTTCTTCCCTCAGCTTGTTTATCCGTACCAAATCCCCGGGGGCCCTGGGCCTTCCCTCCTCGGCGTAGCAGAAATAATTGCCGATGCTCCTGCTGTCTCCTTCAGTCCCCTCGGGTGACTTCGGTTACGCGGAGGTTTTACGGGCACGAGTTGCTTTCTTTTCTTCGGATTTCTTGCACGGAAGATTTATTTTTACAAATCCTTGGGTGTGCGAGATCCTCAGTAGAAAGGAGGGGTCCCGGGGGAATTTTTACCTGGGGTATTTTGTCAGGCTCTGCCATTAGCCAGCCGCTGGCGGGCTCTGGAGTTTTGGGGGAGCTGGTCCCCCCCAGCCCCCCGCCTCCCCTTCGCAACCGAGGGGCGGGAAAGGTGGAAGGGCTTCGTCTCGGCACGACCCGGAGCAGAGCTGGGAGGAGAAGCCGAGGCCGGGAGGGAGCGCGCCAAGTGCTGGGAGTCGGCGGAGGTGTTTTCGGCGTGCCGGGAGGGTTTGCCCGCAGGGCCGCGGTGCGTCCCCGAGCTCCCCGTAACGCCCGCGAGGTCCGGTGGCCATCTCCAGGTGGAAACTGCTGAGCCGGCGCTCCGCCGCGCGCGCCTGCCACGGCGCTGCCCAGTCGTCGGCCGGTCGGTTTGCATGTTCCTCCGCGGCAGGAGCTGCTGCTCTCCGGCCCCAGGCACCGTGGTGACCGGCTAGCGCTCCGTTTACCGCGGAGCAACCCCCAGATCCTGACCTTCCCTTGGGAGAAGCGTTGTCTCTCAAGCAAGCGGCGCTGCGTTTCGAGCCGGGCGCGATCTCTTCATCTCTTCTTTCTCTGTTTCCCAAACAGCAACCAAGACGACTACCAGCTCGTGCGGAAACTCGGCCGCGGCAAATACAGCGAAGTCTTTGAAGCCATCAACATCACCAACAATGAGAAAGTGGTGGTGAAAATCCTCAAGGTAGGTGTGTTCGCTCGCCGTTTGATTCCACCGCTGACGCTTCCGCGCCTTCCCCTCCTTCGCCTCTGCCTGCCCTCCCCGTCTGGAGTGCTCTGGTGATATGCGGACGATCTCGTCTTAGCTGAGGAAAACCTCAGTCCCCAAGGTTTGAGCTAGCTTAGAATCACAGAATCGTTAAGGTTGGAAAAGACCTTTAAGCTCATCGAGTCCAACTGTAACCCAGCGCTGCCAAGGCCACCACTAAACCATGGCCCTCAGCACCACATCTCCCCGGCTGTTAAATCCC